CCACTGCCAGCCTGGGCCCCGCACCAGGTCTGGGCTTGCCAGCTGAAGCTGTGCGTGGCGACAGCAGCTGTGGCCCCCCCACTTGCCGCACTGGGCAGTGTTTGCCACTGCCGCCCCTGGGCTGCCCAACGTGTGAGCTCCGGACAGGCAGCAGCAGCCAACACTGCCCAGCGCAGCAAGCAGGGGGGCCACAGCTGCTGCCATGGATGGGCAAGCCCGGAGCCGGGTTGTAGCCCAGGCTGGCAGCTGGGCCAGGTTACAAGCTGGTGCTGAGCCCGGGGAAAACTGACCCCTCGCTCGCCCCATGGCCAGCACCCTGTGCTGTAGCCAGTTGCAGCCCGCATGGGGCTGCCTGTGCCTGCTCCAGACAGCCCCATGTGGACTGCGAGTGCCTGCAGCAGGGAGCGCTGGCCATGGGGCTTCTTCCCTGCTGGCGAGCAGGGGGTTGAGGCTGTGTGCTGCCCCCCGCCTGTACTACGGGGCTGGGGGGCACTGGGAATGAGTAGGTGGGGAGCCAGCGGGAGCATGGGGCCCGCACCAGTGTCCCAGGCCCAGTGCTGGCGGGGCCCAGAATAGGGTGGCAGGAGCATGGGGTCCCAGCTGGCAGGGGCTCTATGGAGTCAGGCCAGCTCCCCGCTTTCCCTGCTGGGGCAGTCCAGCCTGGCTCCACAGACCCCTGCTAGCCTGTGCCCCGCTGGTGCTGGCCTTGCAGCTGGGCCCCACCAGTGCTGGCCCTGCAGCTTGACAATATCCTGGTTATGCATGGGGACCTACCAGATTTGGGGCTCTTGCCCCCCAGTTTCACAATCCAAGCATGGCACTGGTTGCCATTTTCACAGCAGAGCAGGCACCTGCACACCTGTGGCCAGGGGCCCTGGAAGTCCTTCTCTTCCCTGGAGGTTGAGAGATGGCTATCTGGCCCTGGAAGTCCCTGGCCACCTGTTGTTCTCTGGGGAGGGGTGGGACTTCTGGGGGCCCTTGGCTAATCAGAAGCGTTGGGGCAGGGGGGAAGCTGTGCACAGCTGTGAAAATCTCCCCCTCCCTTCCCCTGTGCTGCAGGATGCTAGGCCTTTCTCCCTTTTTCTGTTTTGCAGCACTCTCTCTTCCCCATCCCAGCCATTTTTTTTCACTTTTTCACAGTCTCTGTGCTTTGGGGGTGGTGCTACCAATTTCGCAGTTTCTGCAAAAATTACAAATTTGGTAGGTTTCTAGTTTATGCATAATTCTCAGGCTATAGGAGTGGACAGCTCTGTCCTGTCTTCTGTTTTCTCGGTCCTGGGCTGGGGTCCCAGCCTAGAGAGCATTATAAAGGCTGCTTAGAGTAAGGTTATGGCATATGGTAGAGCAAGTTATTAAGCTGCATTCATCTTAGCACAGCTACAGGATTATCTAAACGTGCTTTGCTTATGTTTTTCCTTATCTGCAGTAGGTGGGGATTGGAGATCACTGCCGTGGCCTGTTCCCAAAATAAAGCCTGTTGTCTGGGTACTTGGGTTTCTTCTATCCTTCTGTTTCCTGGTGGTATCTGGTCTTCGCAGCTAAGCAGGGCTCTTATTCTGATGAGGCATTAGGTCATATTGAGTTCTGTCATTGGCACAGAGAACTTTAGTGTTTTTGGCAAATTCACTTAATAGTTTTTTTTCGGTTTATTTCACTGACTTAAATGTACTTATTGTACGTGAAAACTTTCCATCATTTCCTCATCCTGTCTCAAACCCCTATGCACCTGAGATTTGTGCCATGCTAGCTCTTTCATTGCACTTCGTACTGACGAAATAATTCATAATTGAGAGTGGGTGAACCCCAGACATCACTTTGCATATTTAATAATATATTTATTGTATTAACTCAGATTTCCATCTGAGTTTGAGTAGGAAGGAGGATTGTGTTTTCTCAGAACCCAAAGGAATTTGGTATTTAATTTGTATCAATGGCTCGGCAAATGGCATGTTTGTTCTAATATATTTCCCAGGGAAAAGTTAGCATTGCTCACTGGACTGGACATTAGAAGTCCTAGATTCTCGTCCTGACTTTTTTGTTTTTTTTTTTTTAAGCAAGTTGCTTTAATCTGTTTCTCCATGGTAGTTTTGGCTGAAACTGAGTGAAGCTTTTTGGAGAGGGAGTTGCTCCTGCCCCCACCCCCACCCCCAATACATTGCCTAGCAGAAGAAGCCTTGACCTTTGCTAGGGCAGTTAAGAGTGCACCCCCTGCTGTTTAGTGACGCTTCACTTCCTCTACCATTGTGGGAGCCAAGAACCAAGTCTTCCTGAATTGAAGAAGTCTTTAGCGTTAACTATGAACTGGAATACATGCTAGATGCAAACAACTGGTGTGATTAGCTCAGTGCAGTTCCTGTGCCTACAGGAGCTGGTAAACACAGTCCTTGTTAGTTTTGGTTTCTTAAATGTGTGTTTGTGCTTTTTTTTTTTAAGCAAAACACTCAAGGTTAAGTGTCAGTACAAGCACTTTCACTTCTTCCATAGTTCAAAGCAAAATTAGGTCAGAAAGTTGATACGAGTGGGGAGGAGCAAAGACGAGAAGGAATTGGAATGATGCACGTTTGAGGATCTGCTATGATGTTCTCTGCAGTTCGCTGATACTTCAAAGGGAGTCTGTGCTGTAGGCAACCCAGTGTATTGTGTTAGATGAATTCCCCAAAAGTTTAATTCCTTTTGCCATCCTGACAGTTAACTCTTTTTAGGTTTGTATCTTGCTGGGCCCAGAAGACTGTGGAAGCCCAGTGGTGGCTTAAGCATGTGTTTTGTAGGGGTTTTGGAAAGGGGGCGGCTTGATGGGAGGGTGGGAGGCAGAGCTTAACTTTTGGGGAAATAAACCTGGAGAATGTAGTGACTAGCTTGTGCATCAAACAGCTAGTTTGCAAGCCACTGATCTCTGATTCTTTTTTTGATATTGAGTCATGTTGATTCCAGCTGCTTATTGAAGTTGGAAATGTGACTGCCACCTCTCTAAAATGGACTAGTATCCATAAAGGCTTTTTGCCTTCTGGAAATTGTATTATGGTATAACGTGTTCAAGTAGAACGATGCACTGGGCATGATTTCCAAAGACTTGAGGCTTTTCGGAAAGTATTATCAATTTAATTTATCTTTCAGGAGGGAGAGCCCCACAAACACAGACAGCCTGGGACTCCTGCTTTGTGCAACTCCTTGCGGCACTGACAGGTTTCAAACCAAACTTTGGGACTTGGTGGGCCCACTTTTTTTTCCAAGGAAATGAACAGGATTGAGATTTTTTTTAGTTTTTAAAAGTAAGACTTCTAGTCTAATTATTATTTAGACAGTGAGAATACTTTCACCTCCATAAAGTTCCTTGAATTATAAAGGACATTGCTGTTGGGTTACTGAAAATCCCTTAGGGTCTGCTTCATTTATAACATTGCCTCAGGCCTTCTGCTGCATCCTGTTGGATTGACCTCGTTTTCAACCCTGTGCTGGCAGCTGCACTGCGGAGCGCTCTTTTTCCCTGGATCCTTCAGGGTTGTCATATGACAAACTTGAACTGTGACCCTTTTATGTCTTACCATGACAGCAGTGCCCTCTTTTTGCTACGTGGCCGGCAGTCTTCCCCACACGCACATTTGTTCCAAGCCATTTAACAAACTGAAAGTTTCAAATGATGGCATTTCATAGTTTTAAATAGTATTGACTGTACAACAAATGAAATGGTGCTGAATACTGTGTGCGTTGCTAGTTGGGAACAACGGCTTTTTTTTCAGCAAACTAGGCTGTTTTATCTCTGGGTGAGGGAGTTGCATCTTACTTGATAAATGCTCCTTAATGTTAAATGTCTCCTTTTATAATAACTCTTGCATTCATTGCTGTAGACTCTTTCACTGGTATTTATTTCTAATATATATTTTTAATCAAATTTCTCTAAGCAAAGTTGACAAAATAGTTTTGCTGATTTCTTGCAAGGACTGTTTTAGGGTAAGAATTGATATAGTTAAGATTGCATCTAAGTAAGGCCATCTCCAAGTGGTATTGAGGCTAGCGGGCATTGCCTTGCTGAAGTTATGGAGACTGAGCACTTGTATGTGTACAAATTGCATTCATTACCAAGAACCCTCCAGTAGTGATAAGAGTCTGGCTGGATAGTGCAGATTGGCTCCAAGATAAGTGGCCAGTCTATTGTTCAGTTCCGGTAATTGTCCTTTTTTCCTAATAAGAAATCTTTGGGCATTTCTGAATGGGTGGTGGCTGTGCACACAAGCTCATGGTAATAGTCTAAATGTATAACGGCTAACCATTGTCATTTCCCTTCCAGTCAGATTTTCATACCCCAAAAAATCTGCTGATTGACAGATAGGCAGATTAGAGGCCAGGAAGTCATTCCTTGTATATGCTGATACTTTAATTTTATATATTTGCAGCCTTGAATAATGTGGTAGGAGACCTTTTATTTTTCAACTTTCTCAGACAGATGGCTGTGTGATTGGTAGTTTGTTAAAGTGCTCTAGTTTTCTTTTTACCATGTTTACCATATTTTAATACTTCAGTTCATTCTCAATGATACCTTTCTCTTTTGAGGTGGCAAACTTTTGAAGAATATAAGTGCTTGTGGGTGGAAGTAAGCATTTAACCCAGAATTTACCCTACAAAGTTGTGTTCCCTGTTAAGTGGCAGTGTATTTCTACTGAAAGGGGGAGGAAAGAGGCATTGCTTATAAGTACTTATTTATCAATGTCTGCATTTAATCTATGTAATCACTTGCCATCATATTTAGCTTGACATATTTTCTTCCTGCTGTTGAAGTGACCAATTACAAGTGCCAGGCACTTTGTAGAGTAACTAGTAGTAACTGAAAATAGGGTTTATGTATTGCTTATGTGTTTTTCTTGGAAATACATACTTAAGGTTGAGCAGTGCCATGTTCTGCGGCATCTGATGCTTGTAGGATTTATACAATTCAGCCCATTCAGAATAAACTACTGTTTGAAAAGCAAGTGCCTTATATATTTTTTCCCCCTCTACCTCTTTAGGGCTTGAATGGAAATGGAACGGCTCTTGGATCATCTGGTTTTAGCCTTACAAAACAGCTGCTTCGTCCAAGAATAACACGTGTCTGTCTCAGGGACTTGATATTCTGCATGGAACAAGAGAGGGAGATGAAGCATTCTCTGGTCTTGTACCGTGCTTTTCTGAAGTGATGATTCAAATCTTGCATTTTGATTCTTGCTGTCTACTGCCAAAGAAAACACTGAAGCATTGTTGCACTGTCCTGAAATTCCAATTTCCGGAAGATGATCCATTAAAAGGATAACTTTTTGTTTACAGATATATATAATTTAGCACCTGTAGGGGGGTTTTAATAAATAGTATTTTGCTTAAACCAGTCTGTAAACCAGTGAAGACACTGAGCACACATCAATACCCAACTACCTGCATGCATTTAACTGTCTTGCAGGCTGAGGGCTTGAGACATGTACTGAGTTTATGTATGTCACATGCTTCAATACTCCAAAGTCTGCAACATCTGTTCTATGTGTAGTGCCTTCCTCTAATCCAGTCTTATTTAGGGAAACAAATAAAAATTTTATAGGCACCGTGCAGCATGACGAATGTATTTAATCATGAACCAGCAGTCAGTCAACAAGCTAATGTATTGCCTGACTCGGCATCTCCTTCAGTTTCTTTGTTTGAGAATTACTACTAAAAACTATTTTAAAGAGAACAAGATAGAGAGAGGTGGGAGGGAGCCCTCTCTTTCTTTCTTATTCTCTCCAGAGGAAGAAAATAAAGGTGAGTATAAATGCACAAGTTCCTGTGATGAGTTGCATGTCCACTGGGTTTGGAAAAGATGAGATTTGATGAGAGTTGATAAGACCTGGAAAAACAAAACAAGCTAGACCTAAATGTCTCCCTTAATAGTTATCTGAAATAGCAACAAGATCAACTAAATCTTAAACAAAAATTCAAAAGTAACCTGCCTTGACTGCAAAAAAAAAATTGTAAATGTGAAAAATTCTAAGATTTTACAATTAAAGAGAAGAAAAAAAACAACCAAACCAAAACAACCTTTTAAAAAAGAGAGAAGTGCTTGCAAGGGGCAGAGCATTCACTTTTCTGAGAATGTAAATTTGATTACCCTGATACCTGTGCTATCATAAAGATGTGCAAAATATCATAATTTGGGATATAAGGAAACAACTTGAATATTAACTGGTTGAACCATTTGCCTGGTTCCTGGTCAGTGAAGGGAACCCTGGTTTCTCAAGAAGACAGTAAGTCTGAAGACCGCTATGTTGGTAAAAGGGAGGAGAACCCCTTCCTCCCACTACATTTCTCGCCCCATGACATAGCACTGCATGGCTACCTGACACAATTGGTAGGGAAGGAGTAACTGTATGAAATGGCTTCATGCTGAGATTTCTTTAAGGAAAAAAAAATCCTGAGGTTATTTGGCATGCTATTTGACTTTTTAACGTGGGCAAAAAAAGAATAAATTCTCCTCTACCAGGACCACTGCAAACACTTACTAATATAGTGAGTGCCAAATCAGTTGTGGGTCTTTTGTTTGTTTTTCTTTTTCTCTTTTTTGGGGGGGGAACAATAGCAAACAAAGTTAATAATTGAATGCTGTAAATGTATTTATATGTACATAAAGCATATATATAAAAAGCAGTACTTTGACTCTGAAGCTATAGTTTGCAAGATATTGATGGCATCAGGCAAAATTGTTTTGTATAATTAAATGCTTAGCTTTACTTTTTATGTAAAGTGCAGCATTTTTCCATATTTGTGTACTGTATCTTATTGATCAGATGTTTAAAATTATTTTAAATACTGCATTAAAGCAATTATTTTATTAAAAATAATAAAGTGGATAATATTGTTCTTGTATGCTAGGGGTTATGCACTCATGTCAGAAATTTGATTAATGGTACAGTTTCAAGTAAGATGAGATGCAGTTCTGTCAGATGTGGTAATCAGCACAGGATGTACACAGGAAGCTGCAAGTTGCTCTTTTATATGTTGGTTTGTTAAGCATCTACCCATTGCAGTCTGTAATCATAATTAGTAATAGAAATAGGAAGGGACTCCAAAACAAAAAAAACCCCTAACTATATTTGTTGATTTCCAACATGTAAGCCCTTGGTTGTGCTATGTGACTATACCATTAATCAACAAGAAAAAGCCCCCTTTTTATATCTGAACAAAAGTCGTTAACTTGGATATTGTGGTGCAGACAGTCTACATGCTTCATTAAGTGAGGGGCCCACGCACTCCTTGTGCCCTGTGCAGAGTGCACTGGAGCCAATAGGAGTCCTCAGTGCTTTATGGATCAGGCCCTAAATGATATAACTATAGGCATTTTTAGGGTGAGGCAGATGAACTTCCTTGCTATCTTAAAGAAAAAAGCGGGGAGGGGGAGGGGGTTTAAAAGGTTACTAAGGGATTTCTTTTGCCCTTTCAGGGTGTAAAGGGAACTCAGATGGGTGGTTTTTTTGCCTGATTTCTGACAGGTCATAATTATGAAGGAAGTTGGTGCTTATGCATATGAATAATTCATCATTGAGGCTGGAAATTTATACTGCATTTTTGCAGGGGGATGACTTGTCTATCATATATGCAATATACTCAATGAACTAACTACATGCCCAACCAGTAGGTTCCTTAAACAGTGTCCAAATCTTTATGCTTGCAACTTTTTAAAAAATTATGCAGTCCATTTCTATATCTTGTTAATTCATGTGTGCAATTGCTTTTTTTAAAAATCTATTTGGAGTGAATAATCTGACACATCATCTGTGCGTCTGTTACTGAAAGCCAATTCATATACTGGTCTAGCTCCAAAAAGCCTGCCAAAAATCTGCCAGTTATGTCTCGAGTTGTTTGGCATGCCAGCTCTAATCATTTAAGTTGTTTGTATGGGTTCTTTACTTCTGGCCCTAGAAGCTGAGAAGGGTTGTATATTTTATAAATTAGCACTCATGCACACCTGTGCAGAAAGGGTTTGAGGTAAATGAGTAGTAGGCCATAAGTACCCTTGTGGAAGAAAAATCATACCTATTGAATTATAACTGTTCCCAAGTGTGAAAACTACCAAGCTGGCTGCTAACAGGGAGGGGAAAAAAAAGAGGAAGGGGAAGAATTCCTGAAGAGATGCATTAGATTACATTTGAAATCCTTTGACACTTTTGTGCATAGCAGTTGGTTGGAGGGTGAAATGCCTAACGGCAGGGCAGCTGACTTGATACTCCTACACAACGCTGAGCTGTGCAGGGAAGAGAGATTCCCTTTGAAGAATAACTGATCCTTTTGGAATTTGTAAGAAGAATGGCCGTAAATGCCAAATCTTAAAGGGGGATAGTTTGTTAAAGCTGTTCTTTGCTTTGCCAAGTTAAAAGTTACTTGTATTCTGGCATAAGGGCTCTGTTTTCAACTAGAGTATACTTAAAAGCCTCTTAATAGAGGAAATGGTAGATACCAGCATGTAATCTGCAAATTATGCAGATTAGACTTCCTCTCATTGCTAGAGAAAGATAGGCAAATAATTTTTACTCTTCCAGTCTACTTTGAATTCTATCCAGCCATCTCTTCTTTTTTTTTTTTTCTTTAACCTCCTGATTCTCAGCGGTGAGAAATCTATTTGTAGTTCTCCCTACCCCAACCAGGAGTTACTACCAAGGGTACAACCAAAGTATGAACCTGTTTAGGCTTCAACTTTGTGTGTCTGCCCTATTGCATCAGTTGCAGTTGCTGAAGGGTTTCAGGGTTAAGAGAACAGATTTTTCTGTTCAAGACTTGGCTCTTAATCGTCTTTTTTTTTTTTCAGAGTTTAGTGTTGTTTGTTCCTATCGGGCGGTAGCGATGGCTTAATACTCTGAACAAGGTGACAGTGGGAGGAAGGTACATAGGCCCAGAACACTAATGGTTAGCTCGCTCCTCCAACTTTAGTGCTTCCCTTTGTGCCACTCTCCAGCTGGTACAGGCCTCTCTGTCCTAGAGACAGTTTATGAGCTTGTGATCTACTAGGTAGAACAGCTCTGGAAATGGACTCCCCTTGAGTGTCTACCCAGGCAATGATAGGAGACTTTTTTCCACGCATAAGTTGAGATTGGTATCTCTGGCTTTTTCCCATGCTACACAGGAAAATGTGTTGGAAGACTTGTCTTTATACAAACCCAGGATACCCAGTAATTAGCATAGTGTAGCTGCAGGGAAGTTCAAATTTTGCTATTCTTTCCAAGGCGGGGAAAATGTGCCCTAAGCTAGGGCAGTCTCGGGAAGAGAGTGAGTCAGAGAGCTGTCTCTGTCTCTAGTCAGGAGCAAACCAAACTTAGAAAAAACTTCTTAAATCGAATTATTTGCAGAAATCATTATCCTTGGCTTGTATGTGCTTCATTTGCCTAACAGCCTAACACTTTAGAATGTTTTATTTGCCTTTCGTGTCTGCTGGCTTCTTGCTCATGGCTTTCAAGAGAGGAACTTTTATTTTAAAATGCTGCTGTTCTTTCTGATAACTAGAGTTGCTTAAACCATGTAATTTGCACTGGTCCCAAGATGTATGTCAACTAGAAGAAAACACAGTAGATGCCTTCTTTGTGTGCTTGGGGGGTGGGCGGAGGCACAGTAGTCCCTCTACACAAGTCTAACAAGGTGAGTGTCTACCCGTAGTTTCTCCTCCTCCTGTCTTGGATGAGCACTATTGCCCTTACCACTATGAGAGCACTATTGCCCTTACCACTATGGGGAGGGAAGGAGGAGGAAACATTTGCCTTTCTTTCCTTTAGATACCTAGCACTGTACCCCACTGAAGGTCAAAGGATGTATTGTAAACCGCTGTGCATTATATCCTATAGCTGTGAAGTAGGAAGAGGTTTCTGGTGTCCACTGTAGAACATTATGGAAAGCATCTGTCCCTGGCCTATCTGCTGATTCATGCTGGTAACTCAGTGTTGCTAGCTTGTTAATTTACGTACTAAAGTCACTTGTGTCCTGCAATGACTCCACAGCCCACAGGCTACTCTGTGCCAAAGCAGCCTCACACCATGAATCTCAAACTAGCTTAGAGTCAATGTTCTAAGTGTGCCTGTAACTTCATACCTCTTATGCCACACACGGCAGAGAAGCACCCAGGAGGCTATTGCCCTATGCCAATTATCACGTGGTTATCGGCAAAGACTGTGCTAATGTCTCCACCCTGATTGGGAGCAAGGTTTTGAATTCAGACCTCCTATATCCCTAGCATATCCCTTAACTACTAGGCTAGGGTGCAGTCAGGTAGGATTTGCTCCTCACTACCTTTTTTAAGGTTGTTCTATGTTTATAAATACTCAAAACAGTCCCTAAAGCAAGGACTTAAACCTAATGCTTCCACATTAGAGGCAAGCATCTGAGCCACTAGACTACAAATGCAGCCTTTTGCTTTTTCCATTTTTTCTGGTTGATAAAGAAAAATAGCTCCACAAGGAAAAAAGGTCTTTTAGGCACATGGCCTTTGCAGTTAAGAAATTCCCCTGGGATCAAAGTAGAAATTTAAAGACTTCAAGCATGTGCCCTTGTACAGCTTTCACTTTCTTTCCCCTCCTGGAGTTGCATCTGGGGATTCTAAGCAGAAGACGGTGCTTCTCTCTTTCTGGGCAAACACACTCAGCTACTTCCATATCTCCTTCAAGCATCTGGGCCTTTGCCCTGTCTGCTACCAGTCACCTTCCTTCTCTTTCCATCTCTTCTCCAAGTTGCATGTATGCTGTAGGCTCACCCTCATCTGCCCAGAGCCCTGGTGGCCTGCAAAACCTAGCTACCAACTGCACCTTTCCCTTCATCTCAGACCACTGCTCCCTGTGTGCAGATGGATTTTTGTATTCCAGAGGAGAGGTAAAAGTCCCCATAGGAGTAAAAGGAGTTTGCAGGATAGTTACCTTCTACCACCCCAGCCATTGGCTTTCTATGTAGGAGCCTCAGGAACACCCAAGCAGAGGCTTCAATTACTATTATGTTTATGGACACGTTACGCTAGTGAGCTGCCACTCAGACTAGACAAACCCAAAGAAAGGGTAGGGAAGAAATTATTCTTAACCCTAGAGAAATTAAATGATTTCCCCAAAGCCACACATGGAGGCTGTGGCAAGACTGGGGTTAGAGCTCCCAGATCCAGTGCCAGCACAGTATTGTAATTGCAAGGCCATCCTCCCACTCTTACAAGCCTAAGAAGCCATAGAGGCTGTGAAGCATGTTACCCCCACCCTCATTTACTCCACAGCTGGAGTATTAGTAGCAAGCCCCTCTGTGCGGCTCCTGAGGGGCAGCAATTGGAGCAAAGCCTCCCCTTTCCTTCCCCCTAAGCATAGTAGCAATAGCAATGGTGCCTCTCCTTACCTTGGAATGGATGGTGCCGCCTTTCCACAGCAGCTGCCACATCTTTTCCTTGCA